GGCTCTGGGGCCCACCCAGCCTCCTCTACAATGGGTACCGGGGTCCTTTCCTGGGGGTAAATCCGGCCGGGGCGTGATGATGACCACTCACCCCCCATCTAGTGCCGAGGTCAAGGAAGAGAGGAGCTATACCTCCACTCACCCCAAACGCCTACATGGCGTATAGTGGGACAAACTTAAACTTTAGGTATAGGCATCATTTGTATAAATACATTTGACTCTTTGACTATATACATTCATATATTATTGGTTTGTATCTAATTCCTTTCTGGCCTCAGCCTACATGGCAAGGGCGTAGCATCCATTTCTGATGTGGGAGCATTTACAAAGTACATTCTGTTACTCCTAATGTTAAAGTGATAATGTGAGAATGATGGTTGGCAGAAGGGCTCTCCAGATTAGTGTGGACTTCGTACCATGAGGGGGGCTAATGTACTTCACATTACTAAAATTTTATGATTGACAGTGCTTATCCTCTTGATTATCATAAGTGTCATTGGTTTATCAGCTTCATACAAAAATTATGTAATTATTTAATTGGTGTTGCTCTGTGAGATGGTTTCATAACGTCATTCAGGTCTGAACAGTAGATATAAAAGACAGTTTTATAGTACCAAAATACATTATCTTCTGGTTGTTGTAGGTGTTCATAGATGGCAGTCACATTTAATTCTCTCTGAGTTGCACATAAAACTTCCCTTGTTTCTCACAGTGAAATAATTTAAATTATTTAATTTATACAGTAAAACCTCTCTAACTTGGACACTCGCGGTTCCACGATAATGTGTCCAACTTACAGAGGTGTCCAGGATAGAGGGAAAGGGGGAAATTATCCTTTAAAATTGTGGTGTAATGACAATGTGGTAATTGTAAAGTATTATGGAGCCCTTCCCAAAAAGGAAATTATTGATAAGAAAAATCAAAAGTGTAGATTAAATTTTTACAAATTTTGTTTTCACTAAATTAAACTTGCATGGATAAGCTCAAAGGGAAGAGCACCAATACTTTACGTTTACAGACAATGTAATCTATTTAATTACATAATCTAACTACTGTAAGCTTGATTGAATTAAGAATTAATGACAATAATAATAATCTTTTGACACCCACTCTCATGGTTGCACATTACACCCCAGCGTCAATGAAATTTTAAATATTCAGAATGTATTTTTTTAATTGTACTTAAGGCATTAGCTCAACATATGATATCACTTCTTTCTTGTAAAAAAGTCTGTCACTTTTATCTTGGAATTTGCCCATCCCCTTTCTAATTTTTGCCGCAATCCAAACAAAGTTTCAACCATTCCCGGTTGATTATGAGCGAAAGCATACCGTTCCAATTTCTGTTAACACTGTTTAACTCAGTTGCAAGCACAGTACTGACAAATTTAAAACTTTACTAGCAATACATACTGTAGTCCAGTGAAGGGTTCAACAAAATAATTCCATTGATGTGTTCAAAGTCTCACACCCTCAACCATAAGCTAATCCTCAGGTAGAAGGCATTCATAAGTCATAAATTCAAAACAACAAAATATTAACTGTAAACCTTTCCCATAAAAGCTTTGAAGCTAAGTGCGTGCCTGCACCTGTCCAACTTGCAACAAAGGGTGACCAAGTTCCAGGATAAAGGGGTGTCCAAGATATAGGGTATTGTGGACATGTAAAATTATAGGATATTTGCTGGTTCCAATTAAAAGTGTCCAACTTGAGGGGTTTTACTGTATAAAGCTAGAATGCAGTTGTCTTCAAATTTGTTGGGGAGAAATAAACGGGGTTTCCGTAGAGCTGGTTATCTTGGTAGTCAAAATAGGGGTGAGTGGGGAAGTGGGTCGAGTGAGTGTGGTAGGAAACATTTTCTTCGCTTCCGATCCATCAACCACTTACTCATGGTATTGCTTGTGGTGACGTGTCAACTGGCTAACACAAGCAGGTCAAACAAAGTAATTCACTTTAAATAAAAAGGGGGAGATCATTAATAATAATGGTATACTCTACATATGTTTTATTAACAGTCAGTACAACTTCTGTTCACATAACTTTGACGTGGCCATACACATCGAGTGGCGTCTAGGAAGGCAATTGTCAAAATAACTTGTGAGTGTAATACCATTAATTTTAGAATCTTTTATCTTCTCATCTCATATATTTAAAATAATTGTGAAACTATACTTTTTTTGTTGATTTATATGGGCATGAAATATGATGTTACAAGAACAAATAATTAAAAAAGTGACACTATTAATTAGTTTTAATAATTTAACAAAAATGTTGGTCTTGTAAACCAAAAATGATGGCGGTCTTTTGAAACTTCAGAGAAAAGATAAATCTTGTCATTCATCCCAAGAACTAACATTTGTATTTGGAAGACGTAAACATAGGAAGTAAGATGAAGTTAAAATGGATCCTAAATGTGATATAAGGATGTGGACTGGATTGAAATGGCTCATAATAGGATCCAGTGGTTGGAGAGTACCTGTAGGTTCCATAAAAGATGGAGAATTGACTAGCTGAGGTTCTGTTACCTTCTGAAGAAGGACATTGTTCCATAGAGTTTGCTAGCAATGTCATGGTAATTTCTGATCGATAAAGAATGTGTTTGTTTTTCTAGCATGTGATAACAAATGAACATGTCCTTGCAATGGTGAGGCGCACAGTTAAGGAAGATAATGACAATATGTGTGATGATACTGAAGAAGAGTTCCCATATGAGCCCAAGCTAACAAGAGCAAAAGCAAAGTAAGTTGATGTTACTGAATTTATTTATTTCAGAACTTGGAGCTGTTTCCCATGCATTTTGAATCTCTCTTGTTCAGTGGCATCATGTCGCCCTCAGTGGACTAGTGGTTAGCGTTCTCGCCGCTGGACCCAAGGTTTGTGGGTTCAAACCCGGCTGAGGTCGATGTATTTTTAAGGGTGATAAAAATATGTAGCACAACTTCCTTCGGAGGGGAATTAAAGCCGGCAGTCCCATGTCGTAGATTTACGGCATGTAAAAGAACCTTACGAGCATGATACGAGATGTTTCGTCGGAAAAATTTCAGCAGCAATTTCTTACCCAAGTCTCCTGATTCACTGCTAGATGGCAGTCGAATCAGATTCGAGTATAAATTGTGTAGAGTTACTACTCTCACTAATACCGGGACGTCCGTTGGGCTTTGCCGGACACGGAAATAAAAATAAATAGTGGCGTCATGTGAATGAATCCATTTTCTGTAGAGCCTTAGCACCTTTCAAGTTGCAAACAATTTGTGACTTTGTGCATTACAGAAATTGTCACTTTATTTATGATCCATCTTTAGTAATCATTATATTGACATATTTTAGCATAGCGAAAAATTAAATTTTTGTCCACAGAATTTCTACTTTTGAGTATGGGTTCCATCTTATTTCTGTTGCCCTGTTCTATCATTAGAGTAGTAATTCAGTATTTGGTACTTTGCAGGGAATTGCTTAGGACACAATCTGCTATCGCATGGCCATTAACTCCTCCCAAAAAGCATTCTGCTTCCAAGTGCCATGTGCTGATAGAACAAGAATTGTCAGAGGATTCTAGTGATGAAGAATATCAGCCTAATGATGAAGAACCAGAGCAGGTACTTATCTGCCTTAATTATATATATATATATCGGTTTGTAACGTCTTTCAACGTCGTCCGATTCCTAGATTCCACCCCCTTTCTATCAATCCATTTCTTCTCTCTTAAGTCTAGCATTCAGTGCTTTTGTTATTCTTTCCCTCCCCCCCTTCCTTCATCTTCCTCATTTCCATTTCTGTGATGGTGTTCACCCTGTTACTTGTTTTGGTAGTCTCCTCATGCCCGCGCGTTGTACGTGCCTATACCAGATCAGTTGTTTCTTCTCTGTGTGTTCTACTCTCGTTCCCTCAGCTCCTATTTTCTGTTTCACAGTTTCATTTCTCACTCTTTCAACCCATGATATTCTCATTCTTATTGCATCCATCTACTGCTTCTACCTTCCTTTTGTTTTTCTCTGAGAGTCTCCATGTTTCGGCCCTGTAAAAAACTTACCTTTGATCTTTGTCTCATTTATGTTATAGTTCCATTTGTAGCCGGACATTTTTTAAGAAAGTCAGTTTAAAAACTTGAATTTTACAAGGAATGATGCGCTGGTGGCTCAGCCTGGTGGGGATTCCCGTTGGAGGCGTTTTGGTTTGCCCCCACCCCCCATCATAAACTATTGGCGTCACTAACAGTTAATTTCTGGTCAAGAGTAGTCGCACTTCATTGAGCTGCGTATCACTAAAGGTTTCAATAAAGAATTATAAGTAACTTTTACGAGAATTTGTCACGTTAAATGCATCCCAGTATCCCATGAGAAGATCTCATGATTCTGCTGACCGATAGCCAGTGATAGAAGATTAGTGAAGGTGTTCGGGCACACTTTTTTGTTATTTTTATACTCAATAATATTCCATTTAGGCAAGCCATCATTTTCCTGGCCTGGGTTATTCGTGTTCCTGCGTCTCTGTCATTGGTTCTTGTTTCATCAAAGCCAACCCCTAGGCATTTTAAGAGGCATACCTCGTTTTATTGCGCTTCACAGATATCGCGTTTTTTTACAAATTGAAGGTTGTGGCATCCCTGTGTCGAGCAAGTCTATCGGCGCCATTTTTCCAACAGCATGTGCTCACTTCATGTCTCTGTGTCACATTTTGGTAATTCTCACATTGTTTTTTTAGGCATAATGCTATTGGACACTTAATAGTGTAAACATAACTTTTATATGCACTGGGAAACCAAAAAATTTGTGTGATTCGCTTTATTGCGGTGGTCTGGAACCGAACCCGCAATATCTCCGAGGTATGCCTGTATTCTTTACGTGACTTGATTTCTCACGTATCCTCCAATGTGATGTTATTCGATTTTGCATCCATGCATGGGTACTTTGTTTTTCCAATGTTAACTATAAAATCCCAGTCCTCATATTCCTCTAACAGATTTTGTATCATGTATTCCATGTCATCCTCATCATTGGCTACAAGTACTTGGTCGTCTGCAAACTGTAATGTCTAAAGACACGTCTCATCATTTATTTCAATACCCATACTATTTTTCCATTGTTCCAACGCCTTTGCTATATATATTTTAAAAAGTGTTGGAGATATACAGCATGCCTGTCTTAATCCTTTTGTTACTAGGAATTCTTCTGTCAGATATTTTCCTGTTCTTATTTTGAAAGTTTGCTTCTGCTTTTAATTTATTTTACAGAATTTGTGTAATATTTTAAATAAAATTCCAAAGGCCCGGCAACAACAGGTTTAACATCATTCAGCTGTTGTAGCTGCTGTCTAATTAGCAGTCTTTGGTAATTTTGCTGTAGAGCGATGAGGAGAGCAAGTTTGTGGCAAGCGACATGGATATGCAGCATCCAGTCCGCAACTGCCCTTCTACATTGAAGTCTCTGGCAAGCAATGATTGCTCCACACAGACATCCTGGTCTGAAGATGGTCTCTTCAAGATCCCTCAGGTTTGTTTGATAAGATCTTGAAATGGTGCAGGATGAGACCCTGCACTTTTAACAATATCCAATTCTGTCATTTTACCTGGCCTGAAACTATTCTGGTATTTCTGTGGGTTATAGTCTTACCCAATTCTTTCACTTCAGCACAATTTTGAATTTGCTTAGCAAGTTGATTAATTGTTGTCTCTCTCTCTCTCTGAGGGAGGAACACAGATTGCAGGTGTTTGAGAATCGGGTGTTGAGGAGGACATTTGGGCCTAGGAGAGAAGACGATGGGGCATGGAGAAAACTGCATAATGATGAGCTTAAAAATATGTACTCCTCCCCCAATATTGTCAGGGTGATTAAGTCGAGAAGAATGAGATGGGCTGGGCATGTAGCGCGCATGGATGGGACAAGAGGTGTGGAAGCCTGAGGGGAAGAGACCGCTGGGGAGATCTAGACGTAGATGGGAGGATAATCTCAGGCGGGATCTATGGGAGATAGGAGTTGAAGGAAACTGGATTTTGTTGGCCCAGGACAGGGTCCGATGGAGGGCATTGGTGAGTTTGGTGATGAACCTTCGGGTTCTCTAAGCCATCTAGTTAGTTGATCAATTGTTTAATTTCTGAAATCTTATGGTCAGTTAGTAAATAATTTTGTTCAACGGTTCCAGAAATAAAGCAACACTTTTTTCACTACCATATAATTTTTTTCAAGTTGACCCCCTTGTCATTGCTTCAAACACAGTGCACAATCTCATTGATATTTTATTCTTTTACCACTTACACACTTTTATCTCACGTATTACCAGTTTAAAGCAATTGAAGAATGTCTTTTTCATATATGTAATTTTAGTTCTAAGTCTAATGCTGTTAAATGGTCACCAACAGGTGACATTGTGGACAGAGAGGTGGACGCAATGGAAACTGTGTGCACCCACTGTATATGACTATGAACATTCTTTCTTAGATGGAAAGAGGAAGCTGGTCTCTTTATTGGCACATTTTTTAAAATTTAAATTACGTTCTTCAAGAACATACCTACAGTGTAAAAGGAGGAAGGTCTGTTCATAGTTTTCTTTTTGCTTAGATTTTGTAGGAATGTTGTAAGATGTGCCATAACAGTTATTCATTAGAAATCCAGGGCTGTGGAGTCGGAAGCAATTTTGGGTGGAGTTGGAGTCTATAAAAATGTACTGACTCCGACCTCAATATAAAATCTTAAGAACACTTTTGCTGCCGTGTGAACCGATTGTGGCCTCATGCTTAGGGAGATTCAAAGACGCGTTGAGCCACATGATGTGGGAATAATGCTTTGTAACTTTGGCTCCGGTACCTTGAGAATACAAACTGTCTACAAATCAATCGATTTCTGCAATAACCATTAGACTTATATTTAAATATAGGTTATAAGTCTAAAAAGTAGGCTGATGATTCACGTGGTGATGATGAAATCTCTTATAGTACCATTTACGGTTTACCATTATTAATACATATTGAGCTTTTATGAAGGGGTCAGAGTCAGAGTCGGAGATTTTATTTCCTACTCCACAGCCCTGTACATTTGCATAAAGAATTCTGTATTCTTCATATTACAGGAGAATATTGGGCAGCGAACACGATCAAAATTATCTCTTAGTGATACGCCACTGGAAACAATCGAGAAAGCATTTGTGCCACCAGACATTACGACGGATATGTATGATTCTGAATGCGATGATGAGGACTGGAAGGATTTCTTGAACAATTTTACAGAACCTTTAAGTAAGTTGTGTAACTTCTTTGACTGTGATACTTTATAATGTAGGTCATTGTAGTGGACAAGTTTGGAAGTCTTTTAAATTTAATTTTATTGAATGACATTGGAAGGGACTCTCTGAAATTAATATAGGTTAAATTTTAAATATGGCAGAATTAACCTGTCTCATAATTTTTTTATGAATGTTGAATTGAGTACTTTTGTTACGTTAGATTTTATTGGAAAGGGGCATATAATAATCTAAATTTGGGATGTAACTAACTCTCTCACAAACGGGTGGGTTAGACTTCAGTGGTACTGTTAATGATGGACGGTTGCTTATGTGACTGCCTATGAAGACCATAGTATTGTTATTTATTTGTAAATGCTTCTTCAGTAACTCAAACTGTACAGCATCGAATGAGAGAAAAATCGTGAATTGGAAAGGACGCAGTCATGGCCTAATTTAAGGTACTATCCTGGCATTTGCCTGGAGGGACTGAGGAAGACCACAAAAAACACAGATGCACAGAGTTTATTTCCATTTATTAACTTGTTTGGTGTTACAAACCCAGCAGTAGAACTTCTTAGTATAATCTTTTGCATCTTATATTTATGCAGAAGTGTAAGTTACAAACCAAACTGTCCTGTTCTATACCAGATTGTGAAATTGGGTCCTGTTAAGGTAATCACTAGTAATACGAGGCTGGTCTACAAAGTAAGTTTCCCTGGGGCCGTTTACAGAAACAAAACACAATTTCATGGAAATATTTATTGCAACAGATACAGCAAGTGTCCAGCTATTTTTCAACATATTCGCCACCGGAATTGAGACATTGGTCATACCGTGGGACCAACTTTTGAATACCTGGGTCGTAGAAGTCTGCCGCCTGGGATTGGAACCACTGTGTGACAACCATCTCCGCCTCTCTGTCATTCTCAAAACGCTGACGCTGACCGGACAGGAATTTCTTGAGGGGTAGGAAAAGATGGAAATCACTGGGAGCGAGATCCGGGCTGTAGGGTGAATGATTAAACACCTCCCAGCTAAACTCCTGCAGGAGACTTGCTGTCCGTCGAGCCGGGTGCGGCCTAGCGTTATCACTGACCGCACTTCACAGGCGGCGGGAGCTGGAATAAGGTTGTATCTTTTTTTACTACTGCCCTTGCGCATTTGTGTTTGAACTCTAGCTGTTGCGTAAGAATGCCCCCCATTTGTACTGTTATCATTTACGTGAATGCAAGTTATTCTACCATTTTTATACAGCGTGTAAATTAAGTACAGCTTAAATGGGCACTAATGTAAAATTATTGTGATTCTAAATGAGCATCTTTTCTTTCCAGCAACAGATATTAATGATGCATTTGATGACGATGAAGCAGATCCCGAGTACAATATTTTGGCAGATGAGGAACAAGAAACAGGTGATATTTTTTTGTGTTCTCAGTGGTAGACTATGACATTTTGAAAATCAGTAATTACTGCTATTATTATGACACATGAAGTTTGTTTGTTGGTTTGCGTGATTCTCTGACCTTATGTACTGACCTTTGACATAATTCTTGTTGTTTTGAACAAAATTTCTAGAAAAATAAAGTGTGAACAGCAGTCATATGAGCTTTGTGTTGGCATCTGTAGAATGAGCAGGGCCTGAAAAGCATTATTTTTGTCCTCTGTGGCAACCTGTCAGTTTGTGATCCTAGAGGTAAATGTCATATTTTCAGTTTGCTGCTCAGCGTATTTGTTAGGTTGGTTGTTTGTGTTACGTAAGAGCTGTATCAGAAAAATTCTGAACATATTTAATAGTGCCCACAGTTACTGCAGATTTCCTACGTGCCGCTAAACATTCTAATATTCTGCCAAGAAAACTTTCCACTCTGTTCCTGTTTGTCACCGTGTGTTGCTCAGTGTCATTATTTTCATGTGTTCCTGGGAACACAAATTGTGTGCAACGAACACTTTCAGAACACCTTAATTTAATTTAAAATTTATTATCAGGACTTTTTCCATTGTCTTTTCTTTAAGAAACCCACAACGTTTCAGAGGCTGGTTCTGTCTCTGTCTTCCGGTGACTTGTGATTATTTCTTCAAGTCCCAAAATTGTAACATTGAAAAGTCTTAGTTCAATGAATGGCTAAATGTGTAATGTGATTTAGCAAATTTATTCTCAAGAAGCTTATAGTCACTCATCTGGTTAACAGATTTCCTCATCTTATATGAAACATGAATGTTTAAAACTTATAAAAAAAACTAATAGGTTTTATGAATATAGAATTAAATCTAATGTAGAATTGTTTCCGTTAAGTATAAATGTTTATTGTGGAAATGGAAAGTAAGAAACAAAGAGATGAAATAAAGGCAGCTGAAATTGTGTACTGCTTAGAAGATGTGAACATACGTGGCATGAATTCTGAACTTGTTATTTTGGTCATAAATACTTTAGTTATGAACTGTCCAACATGTGTTAAAATTGATATTACTTCTCAAAATTTCTTGAAGTAGTTATTTAACTTTGAATTATTTGTTGGCACTCGGCCTCATGAACCATCAACATTTTCCTTAAGTCTACATATTTTATATTTTCTTACTTGGTTGCAGCAGAGAAAGAATGAATGAAAACACTGATTTAAAAGAAACTGAATGTTTGAAGACTTCAGGCACAAATTTGTTAATAGCACATGTTTGAAATAAACTTTGTAACAAACACATGATGGTTGCAGTTGACAAGGAGGAGCTGCGTGTTGATAGGGCTGTCAAGGTGTCTAGGAAGGAGCTGAATCTTCTGGTGGCTGAACTGTTTGACTGCACGGACATGATATCTAGCGATGATGAAGACATCAAGACTCAGCATCACGAGAGTTTCATGTTACCTGATCGGGATGAGTCCGTACAAATTGAGGTTGGTGTGACACTCATGAAGATGTACTTCTTTTATTTTTAAGTACCTTCATGATCTGTACATGTAATATGTTCATTTCACCATTGCCTGAAAATTGTAATTTAAATACACATTGCCACAATTAAAATTTCTAGGACAGTTCAGTTAGTAAAGTATCTGGCTGTGGGCTGGACAACCAAGGTTCAACTCCCAGGAGTGGCACAACCGAGACCAAATAAGCTGTGGAACCCACCCAGTCTCTTGTCAACTTGGTACAGTGGATGCGCGGTTAGAACGCTGGCCTTGTAATCCTGGGGTCTCGGGTTCAATTCCCGGCGGTGCCCGAATTTATAACTTGTGTTGGGCAATGCCGTGGTCCAGGCAACACGGAGTTTTCCTCCGTGGCATCCCAACAATTACTCCATTCACACACAGAAGAAGGCAATGGCAAACCACTTCTGGATCATCTGCCAAGAACGTATATGAACAGGTCCCAGGCCGAGAAAAGGATGGAAGGATCCTGTTCATAATATGTCACCAACCTCCTGTAAAGGAGACGGCCTAATAAAGAAGAAGAAGGTATGGAAATACTAAAATAGATGAGGGTAATCAAATTTTTAAGGATGGCAAGGTTTGAGCTGGATTCTTTGTACAGGGTAAACACACTGAAATCTTGTGCACGTCCTCATGTCTGATGAAGTCAGAAGTTTGTGAATGTAACCCAAGAGTCTTTTATCAACCTCAGTCGCCACGAAAGCTTCACTTTATACATCATTTTACCTTTGTTTTGCTCTTCAAGGATCCAGCACCAGTAACGGAAGATATGTTGATGGAAACGTCTGATCACAGTGTCAGTGAAGAGGAGTTCGTGCTGTCGTCAGAACAGAGACTTTTGCTAGATCAGCAAATGAGAAAGCACGTACAACTAACAACACAACACTTCCTGCAGACATACGCTCATCCGCAGCTGTCCCACTGTGCTTCAGAATGCAAGGGTACACTTGTAAGTGGTTCAGTATTTCCGTTTGACTGCCTTGCCGATCTAGATACAATACAAAATAAAAAAGAAATCGTAGATTATATTTCGTAACTAACTTCACGGTGCAAAGTCCAATTTGAGAAGTTACCCAGTTGTCCAGTTATTAAAATTTTCTGCCTTTGAGTGTTGCACTGCATTTAAAATTTCTGGGTATCTGGACATTGTCCATCATCGATATTCAAAAACACACATTTCAGAAATGGATCTGTTTCCGTCATCAGGTTAAATGAAGAGGGAGAAAGGGCACCTACTCGGTTGGGTCCATTAGAAAGAGCTAACCTCAACCAGTGACCAGTGGTTACCATTTTTTTAAATGCAAGCTGCATGACCATCCTCCACTCTGCAGTACTTTTGAGGTGCTTTCACATTTTGACAGTGCTACATCAAATCATTTAACACAGCCATTTAAGAATCATTAGATTGGCCATCATGCAACTTACGCAATTGCTGTGGCATTTTTATAAATTTCATTATA